GTTTGACCATCTGTCTAGGGATAACTAGCATTACGAAACTAGAGCTTAGTTCCCATCTTCTTCCATAGCATCCGCTAAAAGTGGTTGAGAAACTACACATCACGATCAGAAGTGATAGTCTTGGGAATGCCATGAAGACACACAATCCCCTTAAAGTACAAGTCTACTACTTGAACAGCATTGTTGCTTTTTTGCATGGAATGAAATGAGCCATTTTTTGAGAAACGATCCACAACTACCATGATAGAATCTTTTTGCCTCTAAGTCCATGGTAAACCTAAAACAAAATACATAATCACATCTTCCCAAGGTGCTTCTGGAATTGGCAAAGGCATGTATAATCCAATATTTTGACCCTTGGACTTAGCCAAGTAACAAATTTTACATCTCTATATATGCCTGTTGACATCTCATTCAAGTGGAGGCTAGTAAAAGTTCTCCTTCACTAGGTCAATTGTTTTATCTCGTTCGAAATATCCTGCTAATCCACCATCATGTGCTTCCCAAATTATGGCTTCTCTTAAGGAACCCTATGGAATGCATAGGGCTTTTCCATTAAATAGAAACCCGTCAAGTTTGTAGAATTGGTGGAAAGGTTGATTTGCAGTTACTTCCCAAACTCCTCAAAAATCAGGATCATCCTGATACAACTCTTTGATAAGATCAAACCTAACAACTTTGGTCTACAGTGTTGTGAGTAGAATATATTAATGGCTAAGAACATCAGCTATGAAGTTCAAAGTTCCAACCTTATGCTTAATAAGGAAAGGATAAGATTGTAAGAGTTCACTCCAACGAGCATGTCTATGGTTGATTTTCTGCTGAGAATTCAAATACTTGAGAGCCTCATGATCAAAAAAGAGTATGACCTCTTTGTTCAGGAGATAATGACTCCAACGTTGGAGAGCTCAAACAATGGTATAAAATTCCTTGTCATAGGTAGAATACCTAAGCTTGGCATCATTGAGCTTTTCATTGAAAAAGGCAATGGGATGGCCCTCCTGACTTAAGATAACACTAATGCTATTGTTAGAAGCATCACGGATAACTTTAAAGACTTGGTCAAAATTAGGAAAAGCTAGGATTGGAGCTATGGTCAACCTCTTCTTAAGCTCCTCAAAGCTTTTCTGAGCTTGCTCTGTCCCTTGAAATTTCTCTCCTTTGGTGCAATCTATAAGCAGTGTAGCAATAGAACTAAAATTGTAGATGAACCTCCTGTAGAAAGAAGCTAATCTATGAAAGCTTCAAACCTCTTGGATAGATTTTAGAATTGGCCTGCTATCAATGGCTACGACTTTGCTTGGATTAACTCGAACACCCTTTGCGGTGATTATGTATCTTAAGAACACAACTTCAGTAGTGAGGAAGGTGCATTTCTCGAGATTAGCATAAAACTTCTATTCTCATAAGGCTTGCAAAACTTGCCATAAGTGATTTAAGTTTTCTTCTTGACTCTTACTGTAAATAAGAATATTATTAAAGTACACAACAACAAATTTGCTAATGAAAAGTCTTAATACTTGATTCATCAAGCGAATAAATGTGCTAGGGGAATTTGTTAACCCAAAAGGCATCACATTCCATTCATACAAGCCATCTCTGGTCTTGAAAGCAGTCTTCCACTCATCTCTTAGTCGAATTCTGATTTGGTGATATCTACTACGGAGGTCAATTTTTGAAAAGGCAGTGATACCATGCAACTGGTCTAGCATATCATTGAGCCAAGGTATTGAAAATGAATACTTAATCATGATCTTGTTAATAGCTCGGCAATCAATGCACATTCTCCAACTCCCATCCTTCTTAGGTACTAGAAGAATAGGTACAGCATAAGGGTTGTAATATCGTCCTCCTTCTAATCCCCATAATTAAACCCAAATCCCAAGTAATTAGGAAAATGAGATAATAGTATTCATTAAATACCGAATTCTCATTGGTTAACAAAATAGGGACCCTAAGTTTATAAAACTAAAATTATTTTAAATCTTGCAAAAAGGCAAATCAAAGTTCACAAATATGTGGAAGCAAAGGATCATTGCATAATTGATTACATTGGTACAAGAATTTGAACCAAGAAAAATTTTGAAAAATTTTAAGGCATTAGGGCCAACTGCTGATGCGCCCCAAATCTTCGTTCGACATTCGAATGATGCGAACTAGGTGTTTATAGAAAGCTCTTTCCGGACTCTAACTAATGGCATTAGTCTTAGACTCAAATTATTTTTAAAACAAAAATTGGACACCCTTTTCAAAACTTACATATTACAATAAATTTCACATTCTCAAATGTCCAAAACAAATACCGAGGACCATAAGCCATCAACAACAATATGACCACATACAAATCATCAAAACCAACTTGTGTAATGCACCATAACACAATAAATATTTTCAAATTAAATTTTCACTACTCAACCCCTTAACTCAAAATCATAGGAAGGGGGAGTTTACCATAATTTTCATCAAGATTTCTCAAATCATCACATAATATTTACTACCCTTACTTGCATTAGTATTTTGGCCCTATCATTATAACACATAATAATAAACTCTTTCCCTAGGGCCCAAAATACCATCACAATTTACATTTCACTTAATGCAAGTAAGTAACAAAAAGGAAAATCCTAGTTGACAATCGAAATTGTCATACACATAAGTTACCCAAAATTAGGAGGCTTATTACAAATGGATCGTCATCCTAAGCCTCGAGGTGTTTTCCTCTGTCCACAGTTCTTAAATTATTCCCTGTAATATTAAATATAATAGGGTGAGTACAACTACTCAGTAACTAAGGTTCGACTAGTTCATACTAATGCCTATCAATTAGTTTAAATGCAAGTGGCAGTTAATAATAATACTTTAATTCATGTGAGACAATTGAAATTAGAAACTCACAATTTAGCTCACATAATAGCATCTACTTGAAAAACAATGCTTTTAGTACTTTTCATATAAATAGAGTTGATCATGCAAATCATTGACAAGCATAATGGTAGAAATTAATACTCAACTCAAAATGTCATCATTATGGACTCAATATAGACAACATATGCCTTTACTTACTATATGCATGATAACACCTCCCTTATATCTTCTTTATTCCTCTGACACGAAATTGTGGAATATAACTCAATGGGATAGTCTATATTCCTTAACTTCCTTGGCCTAAATACTTGTGAGGGGGTCACCTAGCCAAGGCATACCGAACTCACTTATGAATCATGGTTTCCCCCATTCCTCACACCATGGGGTGTCATATACCCTAGACTAGCTTCCTTATTGAATCGGTGGATAGCTAACTAGGTTCAAGTCCCTCGTTGAACTAGTGAGACAGTCCCTCATTGAACAAGTGGGATAATATGGATAAAATCAATCCAGGCACATCATCACACGGATGGGACCTTAGCATGTGAATTTTATCATCTACTTCGCTTCCTAGGCAAACTCCTGCCTCTCAAGATCATACAATGCACATTCATGCCATAATTCACACATATACAATTTATAGAACTTCACATTATCAATTTTCATTGAACTTCATCATTACACAATCGTTGGACTTCTCAACCACATTTCATAGAATTTCAAAACCAAACAAGTCATTGAACTCCTAATTCACAATCATTATACCTCACACTTTTAAAATCATGAACTTCCCTATTTTAAAACATCATTGAACTTCTCTTGAATAAAGATTCATTTTTCCTCTCAATGAAAAATCATTGAATTCCCAATAACATTAATATGAAAATCCACCACTATTATTCTCATGGAAAATTTTGCATCACAAGGCATAAAACTCACGAATTTGATCTAGTGGACTTTTTCATAAATTAAGCCACACTTACATTTCTTTTTAGTTTATACATTTCAATGATAAATCATAAATCAATAAACTAATAGACACACACAAGCATAAGATAGAATTTTTCTAGTTACTTTAAATATTTGAGAGGTCAAAGGTTTCATCCCTCAACTATTCACTGTTAAAGCTTTCAAGAAGCTTGAATGGTGCCAATGGTAGTTACACTATAAGCATTTACCATACAAAACATCAATAACCATTTTGAGCTATTTTCCACTAACATTTCACCATTTTTTAATACTCAAGATTTATTCTAGACTCATGTAGAAGTACCCATAAGGCTTCTTAGCTTCCTTCAACTCTCATTAATAATATTGAGCTCTTAAATAGGAATTAATGATGCCACATTATTCTGAACCACCAAATTTATGGGAATTTTAGATATTTAATGTCCTCCAACTACCAATCATCATAAAATCATAAAAATCAAGTTTACTTACTTCAATCTACTCTCATTAACTCTATTTAAGTCAATAGGTTTGGGCCCATAACTTTTTTCGACCGAAAATCACCATTAACCCTAACCTCTACCATTAAAAAAATGGAAGAAGAGAGGAAGATTTAAGCAAGGAAGCTTACCTTTAGTGTTTATGAGCTCCAAATTACTTCCAACAATCAGTTTCTTCAAGCTCTAGCTTAGCTTTTTTGCCACTCTCTTGTTTTCTTTTGTTTTTCTCTTCTTTTTCACTTTAGATTCGTGACTTAATATTGTAAAAATCTGACCATGCATCATAGCGGACACATAATGTGTCGTGACGCATGGCACAGAGAGCCTCTTCTAGGCGTGTTGTTATGCATGTATAATGGCGGACCAACCACAAGTTACGGCGTATGGCATAGAATTACTCCTTTCAAAAATTCTTTCTCTTCTATTTCCGGGTGACCTGATTCTCCTTCGAACCCACGTTTAGATTTGAAATTGAGACCAAACATGCCTATTAGGCCTTTCTGGCCACACACCTCATAGATACACTTAATTAGTTTATTTACACTTAACTAATTTAGATTTATAATTGATGATGTTACAATTCTCCCATCTTTTTAGGAATTTTATCCCCAAAATTCATACAATTGCTTAAAACATACCTCATGGAAACAAATGAGGGTATAGTTGTCTCATTCTCTCCTCAGTCTCCTATGTAGCATCTTTAAGAGTCATTCCCTTCCATATCACTTTAACTAGACGAATGATCTTATTCCTCAACTGCTTCTCTTTTACATTGTTTATTCTCTCAAGCTCAGTTAAATAAGTCAAGTTCTCCCATAACTCAACATCTTCAGGTTCAATTATGTGAGACGGGTCAGGCTGATACTTCTTTAATTGAGAGACATGAAACCCATCATACACACCCATGAGATGAGGTGGCAACACAATTCGGTAGGCAAGTGTCCCAATCTGCTCTAGGATTTCAAAGGGACCAATAAAACATAGAGTCAACTTCTTGGCTCGAATTGATCTCCTAATGCCTGTCATTAGTGTAACCTTCAAGAAAACATGGTCGCCCATCTCAAATTCTAACGGTTTTCTCTGTTTGTCAGCATAACTTTTCTATCGACTCTGAGCTGTTAAAAGCTTCTGGTAAATTAGCTTTATTTTTTGAGTAGTTTGATCCACCAAATTAGGACCCAAAATGCTCCTCTCACTTAACTCGATCCAACAAAGTGATGATCAATACTTTCTCCCATATAAAGCTTCATAAGGAGCCATCTGAATGCTTGAGTAAAAACTATTGTTATAAGCAAACTCTGTTAATAGTAAGTGTTTATCCCAACTACCAATCCACTCGATAACACAAGCTCTGAGCAATTCTTTCAGTGTCTGATTCATTCTCTCGGCTTGACCGTTCGTCTGGGGATGGTAAGCAGTATTAAATTTCAATTTTGTCCCCATAGCTTGATTTAAAGCCTTCCAAAAGTTTGACGTGAACCTTGGATCACGGTCTGATATTATGTCCTTCGGAACTCCATGCAATTTCACTATTTCTTATAAGTACATCTCGGTAAACTTATCCATAGGATAATCCACTCTAATAGCTAGAAAGTGAGTTGACTTAGTCAGTCTATCCATAATGACCCAGATAGCATTATAACCCGCTTGAGTACGAGGTAAATCGATAATGATATCCATTGAGATGCTATCCCACTTCCATGCTGGAATCTCTAGTAGTTGTAACATACCATGTGGTTTCTGATGTTTAATTTTGACTTTCTGATAAGTTAAGCACTTTGACACATAATCGATCACATCACACTTCATACCATGCCACTACCAATACCTCTTCATATCTTGGTACATCTTAGTAGTACTAGGGTGAATAATAAACTTACTCCAGTGAGCTTCTGATAATATAGTGTCTTTGATCTCCTTAATGTTAGGAACACAAACACAATCATGATACACCACGAAACTATTATTATTGAAACTGAACTCTAAAGTCCATTTCTCTTCAATATTCTTCTAAACTTCTAGTAGATATAGGTCTTTCAATTGTGCTTCTCGTAATTCCTTCCAAAACTCATTAGTAATCACCATGGTATTCAAATTAAGCACAACAAAAACAGGCATATTCTGATGTGTACTAGAGAAATCCTCTAGTAATTTCTGTTCATGTATTATCATACAAGCCATATGTACTGTCTTCCTACTTAATGCATCGGCAACTACATTGGCCTTACCTAGATGGTATTTCAGCTCAAAATTATAATCTCTCAAAAATTCCATCCATCTCTGTTGTCTCATATTCAACTCTTTCTGGTCAATCAGATATTTGAGACTCTTATGGTCACTAAACACTTCAAATTGTGAGCCATAAAGATAATGCCTCCATATCTTTAGAGAAAAAACAATAGCTACTAACTCAAGGTCATGAATAGGGTAATTTTCCTCATGTGGCCTCAATTGTCTAGACATATAGGCTATAACCTTATCGTCTTACATTAGTACACATCCCAAACCCTTAAGTGAAGCATCTGTGTACATTGTATATGACTACTTTGGGTCCAAAATTGTTAACACTGGTGTTGTAGTCAACTCATCCTTCAGCATTTGGAATGCTTCTTTACACTTCTCAGTCCATACAAACGGCTGATCCTTCTTTATCAATTTAGTCAAAACAGAGTTGGTTTGAGAAAACCCCTGAATGAACCTTCGATAGTAACCGGCTAACCCTAAGAAACTCCTTATCTCCATTACTGAGGTAGGTCTCTCCTATTTCAGTACCGCATACACCTTATGAGGATTCATAGATATACCGTCAGCGGATATCACATGACTAAGAAATTTCACTTGCTGAAGATAAAATTTGCACTTACTTAATTTCGCATATAACTTACTGTCGACATTTGCAACACAATTCTCAAATGCTTAGCATGTTTTTCTTCATCCTTGAAGTAGATCATGATATCATTAATGAACACAACTATGAATTTATCTAAGTAGGGTCTAAAAATCATGTTCATATAATCCATGAAGATCGCATTTGTTAATCCAAAAGGCATTACTAAGAATTTATAATGCCCGTATCTCATCCTGAAAGCGGTTTTAGATATGTCCTCGGACTTCACCCTTAGCTGATGGTAACTAGACCTTAAATCAATTTTAGAAAACATGGCTGCTCTAATAAGCTAGTCAAGCAAATCATCTATCCGGGACAGTAGGTATTTGTTCTTGATTGTTACCTTATTCAACTATTAGTAATCAATACACAACCTTAAGCTTTCATCCTTTTTCTTCACAAACAGTATAGGCGAACCCTAGCTTAGCCTAATGAATCCCTTTTCCAGCAGTTCCTCTAATTGCTTCTTCAATTCTTCTAGTTCAGATAGAGCCATATGGTATGGAGTCTTAGAGATAGGTTCAGTTCCCAGCACCAAGTCAATGGAGAACATAATCTCCCTTTTTGGTGGTAAGCCAAACATCTCATCAGCAAACACTTCTAGAAATTCATTTACAACTCAAATCTTATCAAAAGTATCATCATACTCTCTAAAGCTTGAAAAGAACACTAAAAACATCTAACACCCTTCACGATCCAACCTCTTAATTTGTATGGCAGACAAAAATGTGGGTATCTCAAGGTTTGCTACTGAGGTTGTGTCCTCAGGGACTACATGAATCGCATTAAACACTGGTAGGGAAACTGTCTTCATTTCACAGTCTAGTGTTACTCCATTGGTCGACAACCAATCTATTCCAATAATCACATCAATCCCTAACATGGGCAAATAAATCAAATCAATCAGTGTAATTCTATTACCAAATCTCATTTCAACTTTTAAAGATGCATGGTTAGTTTTCACAAAAGCTATAGTCGGCGTAGACACATTCATCAATACAAGTAGCTTAATCACAAGCAACTTTAACTTTTCTATACACTCATTAGAAATAAAATAGTGAGTAGCACCCAAATCAAATAAAGTTAAAATCTCAGTATCACAGAGAGAAATAGTACCTCTAATAAGCTTCGAAGAAGCTTCAACTTCTTCCTTAGACATGGTAAAGATATGACCAGGAATAGCATATCTCTGGTTATGTGCACTAGCGTGCTCAGGGCAATATCACGCTATGTGGCCTACCTTATTACATTTTAAGCATGTCTAGCACTCCCCTTTATGATACTTCCCATACTTGTTGCATTATGGAGCTTTCATAGGTCCAGTAATAGTAAGGGCAAAATCCTGCCTCGAAGTCTAGTTCCAACCTCCCATACTTCTGGGTGCATTATTCTTAGACTGGGATCCCTTGAATTAAGACCCCTTTTGAAAATGATTCCTAGCGCCCTCGACACTAAACCCTCAGAATGATCTCGAACCAAAACTGGTCTTCTTGCTCACACTGCTAGTGGGACCCATGAATGAAGAGAAACGACCCTAATTGTCTCGCTTCTTATCTCTATTGATCTGCTTCTTCTAGCAATAGCTCAAAACTTATTGCACATCACCTCAAAAGAAGTGATCTTAAAGGCTGCCAATTGCCTACTATACTCAGGTTGCATCTTGTCTAAGAACTGCTCGGCCTTTCACTCCTCATCATCATGATGTCTTAAATAGGTCGAATACTTTGACAATTTATTGAACTTGGCAATGAACTCCTCCTCGTTCATATTACCTTGCTGTAAGTAATGAAACTCATATTCCTTTTCTCCTCAAAAGGTAGATAGGAAATAATGAGTGAAGAATCTCCTCTTGAATTCCTTCTATGTAAGTAAAAATCCATTAGGTGGCCTTACACTCTCCTACCATTGTTTGGCAACATCCTCTAGCATGAAAGTAGCTAAGAGTACCTGCTGCTTTGTAATGCAGGTCATTACGGAGAATATGGTCTCTAACCGGTCTATCAACTTCTTACCGGTTGTATCCTTCATGGAACCATTAAAGTGAGGAGGATTCAACCTCATGAATCTCTTAAGTGTGTAGTCAATGGAACCCTCATATTCCTTCTCAATCAGCCTCATAGAACACATTGGCCTCTTCTGTGCACTCTCCTCATAGTACTCCTCATCTTCGTGCCCTTGTACCTCTTCAAGTACCTCAACTCTTTTCTTCTTCTCAGGGTTACCTTTAGTTTTCTTAACCGTACTGCTACACCCTTCTTCAGGCTTCTTCTCAAGAATCTTATCATGATCATCCAATCTCTTATCAATTCTCTCAATCATTTCTCTTAACTTGAGCAACACGTTATCCCCACCCGTAGAGCGCACAAGTTGTTCTTGGTTTCACCCTATTTCTACTTGTTCTTCTTCAATTAGGACTACTTCATTCTCTACTTCTATTAAGAATTCTTGCTCATGTCTCAATAAGTTTACTGGAACATTGCCGGTTGTGTGTCTTGTTTGTACCATTCTCCCCTCCTAAGGACGGAAGTCACCACACAAAAGGAAAAGATCAATACTAGCTCAAGAGAGGAAAACAATATGTGTACAATGACAATTGCCAACTCTACATGCAAGTGTATAAATAAGCATGACTACACAACATAATCCACAGACCAGTACTCATAACCAGAGAAACTGATACTAAGTTGTAATATCCTTCTCCTTCTAATCCTATAATTAAACCCAAATCCCAAGTAATTGGGAAAATGATACAATAGTATTCATCAAATACTGAATTCTCATTGGTTAACAAAATGGAGACCCCAAGTTTATAAAACTAAAATCATTTCAAGTCTTGCAAAAAGGCAAATAAAAGTTCACAAATATGCAGAAGCAAGGGGATCATTGCATAATTGATTACATTGGTGCAAGAATTTGAAATAAGAAAATTTTGAAAAATTTTAAGGTGTACAACGCAGCTCATTGAACATGTGCTGTGACATGTTTGCCTCTGTGACACACGCCGCAGCTCGTGGTAATATGCACCACAGTGCAATTGCATGAATTTTGATAGTGAATTTTGCTATCAATTTGATAGCATTTGGGCCAACTTTCGACGCGCCCCAAATCTCCGTCTGACGTCCGAATGACGTAAACTAGGTGTTTATAGAAAGCTCTTTCTAGACTGTAACTA